GATGTGGGACTCGATCCCGGGACTCCAGGATCATGACCTGAGCCGAAGGCAGTCGCTTAACCAACTGAGCCACCCAGGCGCCCCGGAAATAAAGTATCTTTAAAAAGACAAAGAAGGCCCTGGGTTCAGAATAATGAAACCAAAAGCAAATAGCATTTCAAGGAGATGAGGAAGATCAATGGTAGTAAATGCTTCAGAAACCGCCCCCCCAAAATGGACGTTAAAATGGTTGATTGGATTAAGAGGATGGTCATTGTGGAGGGTTCTAATAGATACCTGCCAAAATCTGTTCCCTTTAGAGTAATAGCATTGTATGCAGGCACATGACTACTCATAGATTGCCTGTCCCAGTCTTCCTTGTAGTTAGGTATTGAATTGAATTAAGTTCTCACTAATATTGTGAACAGAATTTTTGTTTGCCATTCCTAGGTCGAGAATAGAAGACATCTGGATGGGTTTCCTCCCTCCCAGCCAACTAGAACCTAGATGTGGCAGTGATGAGGTTACAGTCATGCAGATTATGACATTGCAGTTACTTGCAACAAAATTTGGTTCTGGAAGGATTGTAATGAGCAAAGGTGGCTCCTCTACCTAGTCATTTACTGTTAGAAGGAGATACACACTTTTGAACTATTGAAGGAGATACACACTTTTACAAGCCATTGGGTAGTTATATTGCTTTGTTCAGCAATATAACCTTACCCAACTTTTACAAAAAACTTCAGTCACCTTTACAAGAGCAGTTTCAGGTCATGATCTTGGGGGTCATGAGATCAAGCTCCACATAGGACTCCGTGCTCAGTGCAGAATCTGCTTGAGATTCTCTCCCTCTCCCTCTGTCCCTCCCCCCCACTTGTGCTCTCTCTCTAAAATAAATAAATAAAATCTTTAAAAAATAAAGTGTACAATGCAATGGGTTTTAGTATATTTCCAGATTTGTGCAATTATCACCACAGTCTAATTTCAGAACATCATGCCAAAAAGAAGCCTCTTACTTGTTAGCCACTCTCCATCCCCTACCCTCCCTACAGCTGTAGGCAACTACTAATCTGCTTTCTATCCCTATAGATTTGCCTGTCCAGAACATTTCCTATAGATGGGATCACACAATGTAAGATATTTTGCAACTGGCTTCTTTCACATAGAGTAATGTTTTGAGGTTTGTCCATGTTGTAGTCTGTATCAGTACTTCTTTCCACTTTGGTGTTGAATAATAACAATCCCATTGTATGGAGACACCATATTTTATCCATTCATCAGTTGATGGACATTTGGGGTATCTCCACTTTTGGTAATATTATGAATAATGCTACTAAACTGCATGTATACAGTTTTTGTGCATGTGTGAACATATGCTTTTATTTCCTTTTTTATTATGTTAATCACCATACATTACATCATCATTAGTTTTTGATGTAGTGTTCCATGATTCATTGTTTGCGTATAACACTCAGTGCTTCCTCTTTAATACCCATCACCAGGCTAACCCATCCCCCCACCCCCCTCCCCTCTAGAAACCTCAGTTTGTTTCTCAGAGTCCATAGTCTCTCATGGTTCGTCTCCCCCTCCGGTTTCCCCCACCTTCATTTTTCCCTTCCTACTATCTTCTTTCTTTTTTAACATATAATGTATTATTTGTTTCAGAGGTACAGGTCTGTGATTCAACAGTCTTACACAATTCACTGTGAATTGTGCTTTTATTTCTTTTGAATAGATACATAGGAGTTGAATTTCTGCATCATAAGGTAACTATATGTTTGACATTTTGAGGAACTGCCAAACTGTTTTCAAACAAATACGCCACTTCACATTCCTTCCAACCTGCAGCAATTTCTCTGCATACATTCCAACAGTTATTATTGTCTTTTTGATTATGGCTATTCCGGTGTGCATCAAGTGGCCATTTTTATTTTTCACCTTCAGTAGTCTATGCATCTTGTCTGGCACGCTAAGGTGCTATAATGCTTTTTATCTTTTTAAGCTAGTGATCATACATCTTTTCCCTACTAACTGCAGTAAAGGCAGGAGGTAATCTTAATACTTTACTTTGATTTATGGATTTCATATGAATTTTTATTCTCTCTGTAAAGCAGCTTTTCATTTGGGGGGGGAACGAACTTGCTCCTAGTTCCACTTCTAAAGATAGAAAATTAGAATTTAATTAGCCTGCATGGACAAACTTCTGTTCCCTCCATTTTTCTTGAATTCAAAGAATAATCACTCCATGCAGTTCAGAAGAACTGGTAGTGAAATTTCAGTTTTCAGAAAGTGCGGACATTAGATTATTTGGGATATGCTACAGCAAGAAATTCTACTTTCTGACATTATTAACTAACTAATATCTACCCTCGCTATAGTGTTAAGATAAAGTTTTTAAAGTTATTGAAGAGGCACTTTCTGGCAGTGATTCTAGTCTGTGGTACTAGAGGCAAAAGAGCCATCATACTCCTTACCCTCACCCATTTCATCTTTTTTTTTTTTGTAAAGATTTTATTTATTCATTTGAGACAGAGAGATACTGAGAGAGAGAGCATGAGCAAGGGGATAGGGGCAGAGGGAGAGGGAGAAGCAGACTCCCCACTGAG